TTGTACCATATCTACTGTGTTTACATTCTTTGACAGGACATAAAGTCTATAGCAGAAATCCGACGCTAAGTTTTGGGTCAATAAAAATAACAGTGATTTAGTAAATATCACTGCAAAAGATTAAAACAACACGTTATAAATTTAATGCGTCCGAAGCGCGTTTCTGGATTTACCTTCATCAGGAACGCTCAAAGACGAATATTTGAAGGCCAAGGATGTATAATGACCGAAACAGTTGAAGGGCTATATGACCAAAAGAACCTAAAAATAGCCAAATCCATGCAAAAGTTGTTATCCTTATAAAAGTTATGATTAATCACAAAATTTTATACGAAAAATTATTATATACAATTATTTTTGGTTTAGAGGTGGCAAGAAAAAGTACGCGAAAAAAAGATATTGCAGATGTTATATTGAGTGTAGTGTTACGTAGTATAAAAGGGAACGGATATGATCTCTCCGCTGTAGATTGATGTGATCATACTAGTTTTGTAATTTGGAACTTGAACTTGAAAAAAGTACTTCGTATTCCTAGACTATGTACTTTTTACTCTATGAAAGATATAGATGATGAATTTTGTTTCTTCTTCCATAAAAATGTAAGCAACATTTACTTCTCTGAAATTGTTTCTCAAAATAGTGACTTAATGAGTTTCGCTAACAAAAAAAAACTACAATATTTATGAATTCAAGTTTTCAACAGGTACAACGTCTAGGTTCCTTTTTAAAAAAAGAGGAATAGGGACTCTTGATTAACTAATTGTTATTAGATTTGTTGTATATATGTTGTTATTTGTATTTTGCTTTTCACAAGCTGTATTTTTTATGCTTAACGACAATAACATAATTATTGTGTTAATAGTTCATTTTCCTATTACGAACTTTTTTTAATTTTAGATGTTTTGCAAAGGACAACAACACATACATTTGTAGGACAAAGACAATACACCATAGCCGTTCCACTTAAATAGTAAGGAATACATGCTGTCTTACCTACATGTATGTGTTGTTTAATTTTGGGAAAAAGTTCTAAAATTGAAAAGACGGTCAGTAATTTGAAGACACCTGTTGAATGTGATGTCAGTGTTGATTAAAAAATAAAGGTAATTATACATCAACGCCTTGATTCCATATTAAAAAGGTACTGTAAATTCAGAAACTAGTTTTTTTAAATAATGCAATCAATGCGACTGAAATAAATCGCAATAATAAGAATTCGCATTATGATATATGATAAACATATCTGTATTCAGATTGTCTTGAAATAATAAATGCGCGGAGTCACAGTTTCGATCTACGGCGGGGCTAATCCAAAGACTTGGAAATTGATGGTTGCTGTTCTCCGCTAATTTAGGAGAAAGAACAAAGACTGGTTGGCTCGGAGCCAAACTAATTTTCTGGATAGGGTGACATGTCTTTCTGTGAACTAGAACGTTACAATGTAAATGTCCACAGTTCACACAAAGTCTTCTACATTAGACAGGTGTCTTTGCAAAATGTCATGCTGTAAATCGCCACGAGTAAGTTAGTTGCGAGTATAATCTACATAAACTATCAAAGATCGTCAATAAACTCAAGATTCTCCAAATAACTAATAAGATTATAAAAAAAAAAATAGTCCGAAATAACCCTCGCCCAACAATACCTTTTAAATTGTATTCTAAATGATTATGGCGCCATTTATCTTTAATAGAGGCATGTGCTTTTGTTTTTCCAGGAAAACATTAGCTTTTAATTTAATAAAAATATTTTTTTTTATAAATATACAGGAACAAATCAAATATTTTTTTGAAAATGCAATATAGCCTATCAATTTGTTTGCCTCCTTTTCAAATCAAATAAAGTATTTGTTTCACTTCCGTCTAGAATTAATCCCAGCTCTCTAGAAGAAAGTATGTGTACAGGAGACTAGTACCACCTATTGCAATAATACAGGACGTAAATTAAACTATCAACCCTATAAAATGTTGGGCCATGATAATACTCTATTATATTATTAGTGTTCTACAGCTGTGTAAAAGTTTCACAAATATTCATTTAGATGTTTAGGGGGATTTCTGCTAACAAGACAGACAGACAAATAGACAGATAGAAAGGACTGACATGATGATTTGTATATACCCAACACTTTGTTTGTTGGGGGGGAAAAAACAACAAAAAAACTAGCAAAACAAAAACACATAAAAACACATAAAATAGAAAAAAAAAACACTTCCCGCTCTAGTACAGCCAAATTCATATGCAGCGGAATCATATTAGTTTAGTGCTCTCTGCAGATTTAAGCACTGGACATTAAGCAACCAACAATCAATCAATCAATCTGCAGATTTAAGAACCCTTGCAAAAACTTTCCGAATGTCTGTAGGTTAATTGCTGCAAGGCAATATTATGTTCGAATCCAAAATATCATCATTTTTAAGTGGAAATTCATTTTCCCGTTTTTAATCCCATTCGACCTAATTTTCAGACCATACCAACTTTTTAATTTCGTCTTGTCCTGAATACACATCAAATAACTTCAACTGGATTTGAGCAAACAATAATGAATCTATCAATCTATCAGACCAAAATTAAGTTACTTATATCAATCTTTTATGAACTAACATGATCACATCAGTTGTGGAAAATTGACATGTGCAATTCTGATAAGGTTATCCTGGTGATATTCATACAGCTGTTCCGTCCATGTCCCAATACACCTTATCGCTATTCCCGCTTGACCCGAGAATCTGTCCCGCTTGAACTTTTGACGTCATACAACAATCACTTTTCCATTGTGGCGTCAGATATTTTCTATTATGACGTCAAAATTTTACGGGAACTTTTGTGATGTCCAGTAAGGCGGACAAAAAAGCGATAAGGTGTATACAGAAAGAAAGCTGTAATGGCTTATATGCTGGATTACTTTTATAAATTTTGATTTGGATGGAGAGTTGTCTCATTGGCACTCATACCACATCTTCTTATATCTATTTGCTGGTGATACTTTAGCTAGCTCGCACTGCAAATGTCTTACGCTTTACCAAAATCTCGACGAATTTTCATGTACTTGATAATTTTGTATCATATTTTATTACTTCCGTAAGATACCATGAAAATGTTTGAAGAAATCCGTGTTGTGTAACGATTTTTACCACGACATTTATAGAGCCTTTCGTAATGATACTTTCGATAACAAGCACTGTTTGGTAGAACTGACAAATTAAAGAATAAGAAGAGTTCAACATGTTAAAATATTCCCTTAACTTATAAAAATACAATACACTGGTGATATTATATTCTACCACTGCATGAAGTTTGTCCAATTAAGAAATACATATAGTACTACGATTAAACAAACCTCACGCTGATTATAAACACAATCAACCGGTCAGGTAACGAATAAATTAGGTAAGAATTACAGAATGTCTTTATTTATTTCTTACAATTATCATCACGATAATTATTGTACTGTATACCAATAACTATCTGCACACATTCTTAATACTTTTATTGTTTTTTCGTCTATGTAGTTGGTTGTGCGATTTATACATTACATCAAGAGAAACCGCATGGGATTTATTAGATAAGATTTGCATAGACCATTTTCATTTTTAAATACTTTTATTTATTTTTAAATTGTAGGTCATTGCCACCAGACAGCTTGCAGAAACATGTCAATATTATATTGTTTGTTTACTATAATTATGTATGTAGGAGGCGACATCGGCTTTCCTTGTCCAAAACCGCTGTGTGAATGTGATGATATTAAAGCTATTTGCTCAGGCGAAAAACTTACATACATCCCACGTTTACCAGAAAAAATTGAAAGAGTAACTTTTACAAATGGTAATATTGGAATACTTTCGAAAGAACTAATAGAGAACCTTACTTTTAACCGACGTATAGGTAGAGTGAATTTCACAAGTAATGGTATCTTTGAAATTAAACCAGACACATTTTCGAACTTGACTCTTATTAAATCTTTGACTTTTGCATCAGAGTACTCACTAAGTGTAAATAATGTCAGGAACGCATTAATAGATATTTACAAAAGATCTAACAATCTGATAAAACTCACCCTTGTAGACAACGGTTGGTCCATTCTTCCAGATGATATGTTCAAATTCTTAAAAGCAAACAGAATTCGTAAAATCAGTCTCCGAAACAATAACATTAAAGTTTTGAATTTATCGTTGTTTTCAGATGTGAAAAAATTGATTAATTTGGATGTAACATTTAATCAAATAACACAAATCATACCTTGGATGATGTCAAACCTTAGGACTTTGTTATTAGGAAACAATGAAATAATTAACCTTCCAAAATTCTGTACAGAGTATGGAAATAAGAGTTCATTTCCTAATTTATTAAAACTTTCTTTTAACAATAATAAGATTTCGAATCTTGGGCAATTTCGATGTTTGTCTAGGCTTACAAGTCTGAACCTTAATAGCAATCTGATTGGAGTTATTCATTCTGATACTTTTACAGAATTAAAACAATTGACAAAACTCTACTTGATTGCAGTAGGGCGACCTTTGGTGACAGTAGAAGAAGAAGCTTTTAATATTCCGTCATTAAAGAAATTATCGTTGAAAGAGTGTCATTTTCAATTCAACAGACTTTCAACACTGAAACTAAGTAAAATATTTTCATCTTGTAAAAAGCTAGAAAGCTTAGATCTCGGAGAGAACTACATAAATTCGATTACTTTGACTCCGATGATATATCCATTGACAAAGTTGAAGACGTTAAACTTAGAGGCAACACGGCTTTCCAATTTGCCTGAGTACATCTTTTCAAACATGCAATACTTAAATACGCTCATTTTAAGGAAGAATATGATACGTAGTTGGGATGGTTCAAAAGTGTTTAGCAATATCACATCGTTAAAATATTTGGATTTGTTTAAAAACTTTATAAGCGTCATTGACGATACATCGTTTCCACCACCTTTACTGAAAAACTTAGAAAGGATAAATTTAGAAGACAATCAGTTTTCCTGTACTTGCAAACTAATGTGGTTTGTGAATTGGCTGCGGACGACAAATGTAACTGTTATTCAATATCCTTATCAATACTACTGTACCCAGCCAGCAGAATTAATTCATGTGTCACTAAAAGATTACAACCCTACCATTGAGTCGTGTACTCCTTGGAATCCACTGTTCACTATAGCGATTTCCATGTGTACTTTTGGATCCCTGGTTATAACAGCTGTTGGTATTTTCTTAAAATGTCACAGAAATATAAAGAATTATGTTTACCTTCTTAGAGTAAAACATCTCAAACGATATGGCTATCTGCCAATTGAAAATAATGATGATTATGAATACCATGCTTTCGTTGTTTATTGCGATGTAAATCGAATCTGGGTTCATAATGAATTCGTTAAAAGACTTGAAAACAAAGAAGGATTTAAGTTTTGCATTCACCATAGAGACTTCGTTGCTGGAGCCACAATCAGCGCAAATATAGACACATTCCTTAAGAAATCTTGGAAAGTTGTTGTCATAATGTCAAATGCGTTGGCTAAAAGTGAATGGTGTCAATGGGAAATTGACATCATTCAGGAAAGAAGACGTCGACAAGGCCGAGATGCGCTTGTATTAATTATGCTTGAAAACATAAACTCGAAACATATGACTAGTCCGTTGCGCACCTTGCTGGACAGTACGCCATGCATTCGTTTCAAGAAAGGAATTGGAGAGGATTTGTTCTGGAAAGCTGTTGTAGAAGGGCTCCGAAAATCTATCGGACAACCTCCAGTCTCTGTGTTATAAGGTTAATATTTGTTTACGCATAGTGATTTGGTACCTGCATATCAATACATATTTCAATAAAATTGATATATGGATATGGATTTACGCAAAGGAGAAAATAACCCAACACAAGCAATATTGATTTAGACGCTTAAACGCTTTATAGATTTTGAAATGAACCGATTTATTTTCCACAAAAATCAAATTAATTTTACTTTCTTTATAATGCTGCTAGATTTGTCAAATTTTCTTACAATGAACATAATGTTTATTTATATATTGGAAGTGGACAAGATCATTCGTTTCTAAGACTGTTTATGACGTCTTAAAACTCATTCCGTAGGATGTGCACTGATTGATACTTTAGTCTTGGTTAAGATAGATCGACTGTCGAAATTAAAATCGATAACAAATTTTGATAATTAACGAAAATGCATTTTATATCAGACTTTTTAAACAATATAATAAAAAAAGTATGGGTCACGGAGCTTTTTATCAAGCTACATGTTGTGCAAAAAATTCAGATATTTTATAGATTATAAATGGGAAACCCATTTTTTGTGATAAAAAGAAAACTAAACGATAGAATTGAAAGATGAAATATAAGAAGATAGCTCTTATAATGTGCTTTCAGAAAATAAATAGATAAAACGGGGTCGCAGGACTCGTTTTCTTACTACATAACAAAATAGGTAAATTCATAACACATTTATTCATAAAAGTTACATTATCGGAGTTTTCTCCACTTATATGTCAAAATTGAAACAAATGGAATCAAACAAACAATATACTGCATTTAAAAAAAAACGGACGAAAAAATATAATAGAACACATATTTTTCTTCATTTAGATGAAAAGTCTAACACATGAATTAATTTCTTCTCGCACATTTTGTACTTTTAATTAAAGATTTAGACCGATTGTGTTTGGCTATTTTACAAACCAAAATGGCGGAAAATACCCGATTTACCTTTAGCCATTTGCAAATGGATTTTAGAGTTTGGTCTTATGTTGTGCTGTTACACCACTGTCCAAGTTTAGGGGGTGTTGCGAGCTAATAAACATGTTTAACCTCGCTACATTCTTTATCTGTCTGCTCCAAGTCAGGAGCCTGTTATTCAGTGGTTCTGTTTGGTTTGTCTGTCATATTTGTTTCTCGTAAATTATATTGGTATAAATTAGGTCGTTAGTATTTTCGTTTGAATTGTTTTACATTTCTTGTCGGGAGTTTTATAGCTTAGTAAACGGTATTGGTTTTTCTCATCGTTGAAGGCCGTATGGTGACTTAATATTGCTTATATCCACGTCATTTGAAATCTGGTTCAACATAATTACATTGTGATCTAAACAAGTAGTAACTGTTTCACAGTTGAATATGAGTTGCCCCCAATGTCTTTCGAGCCATATAGACTCTTAATCAATTAGGTGAAAACTTTCTGAATCCTGGACACAGAAGACTATTTAATCTTTGAAAATGAAAAAAAAAAAAATAATGACAAAATGTACAGTCGCACACATCTATCTACACGTATGATAATTTTCCAACTGTTTTTCTTAATTCCGTGTAAACAAATAACAAAATAAGAAAGAAGATACCAAATACTAGCGTACTATTATTCATAAATAGATTATGTGTTAACAATTGACCATTTTAAAACTTATCTTGAGTTCACGTTAAGCATATTGCGCTTTTAATCTTCCGTGAGTCTGTACAGAGCCAAATTCCCATAAAGCAACACCATTTCGAAATTAATCTATTTGGAAAATGGATAATCAAAGACAAAAAAGTTTGCATCATTGGACTTAAGATCATAAAAGTACTATTTGTTGTTCAGAATATATTATTATTTTAAAAACAATAAAATACTATTGAAGTTGTTCTTTAGTTATATATTTATATATTATATATATCATGTATATGTGTGAAGGTGTGTAATTAAAATCCAGTACATTCAGAATTCTAATATCTACTAGTATACATTGGGATATCCAGATTTGTACTAGGAATATTCTAGATTGTAATTAGTTTCTAGCAAGTTCCATGATGGTACTAAAAACTATATTCCGTATGATTCTGGATTATACGTAATTTCTAGTCGGATCCAGAATTTTACTTATAACATTAACGGTATCTGCACCAAATGCGCATTTCGGCAATTAATGTCTCTTTCTTTAGTGGTGCTAGAGGCCAAAAAGTTCAAAAATCCAAATTTTAAGCTTATTGAAATGATGAAGAGCTATAAACCAAAAAGGACAAAAAAGTATAGCCAAAGCCGGGCAAGGAATCAGTAGTCGTAGTAAAAGCGTGGTTGGGTCGCGGGGAGAACGTGATGGTCGTAGTGAGGTCGTAGTAACGTCGCTGAGAGATCGTAGCGCAGTTTCTCCGACTAGAATCGCGCTTTCGTTACGATGGTACAGCGACCTTTACGATCTTACCACGACCTTACTGAGCTCTCACTACGCTTCTACTACGACCTGATTTCGCCACGACCGCACCACGATTGTTTTGAACATGTTCAAAGTTGGTCCACGCTCATCACGATCATGAAGACATCACCACGACCAAACCACGACCTTGCTGCGATCTACACGATCGCACTACAATCGTAAAAATTTGCATTTTTTTCAGAGATCGTAGTGCGATTGTGGCCTAGTGTGACTGGGGTATTAGTTTCTGACGCGACTCCTAGGTGTCGTCGTAGTGGCGGTCGCCATTACAGTCGCGAAAAATTATGAACAAGCTACAAATCTATTTCCCAGACCGCTTATAATTGCTTAACGTAAACACAAGAATGCGAAAGCGTACTTGACCTCGGCAAAATTGTAAATTTTTCAAATAATAAAGTAATTAGATAAGGAATGTTCATTTAAATAATTCATTTAAGTGTATTGCAGGCCAGGTGTCGTGCCCTGAAAATGAAACTGATACGTTACACCCGGGACATTATATATTGACTCAAGTATACTATAAATCCTAGGTTACATATCCATTATGAATTAATTACTTGGTAATCATAATTGATTATTATAGTAAATAAAAGTACTTTGGGCTAGGGTACCTGATGAGGATTTAGGGCCTTGCCGGGTCGAATGTGATATCAAAAACACCATGCAGGTGCAATTTTGTCAAATCATAGACATTTCTGTGGTCAGACCTATAATCAGACAGTCTTAAAATTTGACATTTCTCAAGTCCGACGTCCCTATAATCAGACAGTCTTAAATTTTGACATTCCTGAAGTCCGAGTCACTATACCCGACAGCCCGATTCGTCCCACCCGCGGTTACTTGTCTCTGAAATAAATATACTGTCTTATAGATGACTTTTCATTTCCTATTGTTAATTATCAATTTTTAGATGGTGATGTTCCCTTGTCACCATCTTATGGTGTCTATATATATCAACTTGTTCGATTCGCTCGTGTATGTAACAACGTATTTGAATTTAACGAAAGAAATATCTGTATTACTGAAAAATTATTACACCAGGGTTTTCGATATCACAAATTGAATTAAACTAGTCAAAACATTTACTAAATTTTATCATCGGTACAAGGACATCATTCGTAAATATAAATCAACATACAGATATCTTATACGTTCAGGTATTTCACATCCAATCTTTTATGGTAATATTCTATACAAAGCAAAAAATGTCGTCATTTACCTAAAAAGCTAATAAAACATTTAAACAGATTTATTCAGAAGGGATATAGTTACGATACTGTTGTTTGATCATTAAAGATGGCATGTTTTGGAATAAATATTGATTCACTCATAGGGTCTTTGCATCGGAAATAAACACATGTATTCTAAAACCAGTTGTTAGCATGATACGGGTTATGTTCTACTCTGGCCTTTGTCAGTCTTGTGTGTGTTTTTAATTTTAGTTCATTTATTTGTTTTGGAGTTTAGTGTGACATCCATTTTCACTGAACTAGTACACATTTTTGTTTAGGGGCCAGCTGAAGCCCGCCTTCGGGTGCGGGATTTTATACTGCGCATAATTGAGAGACTTTTTCGTCTTATATTTGTCTCCACACACATGAATTGCGTTATGCTATCGATGCGTCGGGCCATATAACTTAACTTTACCATTAAAATGGGCTCAAGTGAAAAAGTTTTGAACTTTCCCATGCAATCATATAGTTATTAGGCGTTCACCTGACTCCAATTTCGTTTGCAGAAAGCTAGCTCAAACGCCCTCTATAACACAAAACTACTAGTATGCATAGTTTAAAATCATGCACCCGTGATTAAAATAAATGAGACAACTCTCCATCCAAGTAACAATATTTTAGTCTGAGTTGATGTTGTTTGAATGTTTGTCCATTTTGCAGCAAAAAATTAGTCGTCATGAATTAAAAAGTACGTATCTTCATACTGGGTTGATTTGCTCAAAATTACAGAACAAGCTACGTTAAATCTACATGTAGATTCGGGATAGGTTCCATTTTCATTATCCAAAGAAATTTGAACAGCTTCTAGACAAAAAGAGGTAGATGCACTGTCGTAATCGGATTCATTCATAGATTAATTTATGTTTTTTCATAGACGTTTCACGACGTGTCAACATTCACCTACCAGGTGTAACTTTACTTTCAATTACAATTTTTTTTAGAAATCGGATTTTGTCAGGTCGGCGCACCATCTAGAATAAAATGTTCCGAACATACAAAATAGATATAGGAAGATGTGGTATGAGTGCCAATTAGACAATTCTCCATCCAAATAAAATTTATAAAAGTAAACCATTATGGATCAAGGTACGGCCTTCAACACGGAGCATTGGCTCACACCGAACAGCAAGCTATAAAGGGCCCCAAAAACTACTAGTGTAAAACCATTCAAACGGGAAAACCAACGGTCTAATCTATATACAAACGAGAAACGAGAAACACGTATGAACTACATAAACAGACGACAACTGCTGTACTTCAGATTCCTGACTTAGGACAGGTGCAAACATTTGCAGCGGGATTAAACGTTTTAATGGCACCAAACCTTCTCCCTTTTCTGAA